TTTTAGAGGAATTGGACATTATGCACAACACTGAATAGGGAAGAGAAAACTTGAACAAGGGGTATGCTGAATATACTAGATGGCTCAACATGTAGGATTCCATGATGAAACAGAAAACAAAGCTTCAATGGTTTAAAGGTGGTGACAGAAACACCAAATATTTTCATAGTGTTCTAAGAAGTAGAAGAAGGAAACTACACATAAAAAGAATCAGAAATCATAGAGGCAGATGGGTGCAAGAGATGATAATGTGGCAAATGCTGCTCTCAAGTACTACAGGAAGTACTCCAATTTGAATCTCACTGAAGGAAACAACAATATTCTAGATTGCATACCTCAAATTATTACTGCACAAGACAATCTTATGCTGACCAGTATGCCTGATGAGGAAGAAATCAAGCAAGCAGTATTCAGCATGAGCAAGGACAGCTCCCCAGGACCTAATGGGTACAATGGTATGTTCTTTCAAACTTGCTGGAATATTATAAAAAGTGATATTACTGCTTTTGTTAAAGAATACTTCTCTGGTAAATCTTTAGCCAAATTTTACACACATACTTGTCTCACTCTAATTCCTAAAATTGATTATCCCACTAGCTTTGCAGAATTGAGACCAATTAGCCTTAATAAATATACTAATAAATTATCTCTAAGATTATGGCTAATAGATTGAATCCTATTTGAAGGGGCTTAATTTCTGAAAATCAAAGTGGTTTTGTTTCTGGGAGATCAATCGCTGATAATGTAATGCTCACTCAAGAAATAGTTCATGGTATATCTAATCACAATAATGGAGGAAATGTTGTTCTTAAACTTGACATGGCCAAAGCATATGACAGATTATCATGGTCCTTTCTTAATAAGGTGTTATGTAGGTTTGGTTTTAATGATGATTGGTGTAATTTGATTTGGAGAAGTATCTCTAATGTATGGTACTCTATAATTGTGAATGGTACTAGACATGGATTCTTTACTTCTTCCCAAGGTCTTAAACAAGGTGATCCCATATCCCCATCCCTTTTTATCATTGCTGCTGAGGTTTTATCTAGATCCCTGAATAGTTTGTTACAGAATAATGCTTTCATTCCTTTCTCAATGCATAGAAATGGACCTCAGATTACTCACTTGGCATATGCGGATGATATTGTGATCTTTAGTGGTGGTCATACTAACTCCATAAAGTTGATCATGAAACAAATTAGGAACTATGAATGTGTTTTTGGACAGAAAATTAACATGGAAAAGAGTTTTTTGCTCAGTGATCCCAAAACATGTGCATATACAATCAACAAAATTAGAGCTAAAACTGGATTCCTGGACAAAAACTTCCATTTTAATTACCTTGGTTGTCCTATTTACATTGGTAGGAAAAAAATCTCTTATTTTGATAGCATGTGTGCCAAGGTTATTAAAAGGTTGAATTAGGGGTGTTCAAAACCGAAAACCGAACCGAAATCGAAGCTTAATGGCTTATTGGTATCGGGTTAACGGTTTAACGGTCGGGGAACAGATTGAAATTTTTTTATTAACGGCTTATCGGTTTGGGGGCGGATTATTCAATTTTCTTAATGGATAATCCATTAACCCGTTAAGTAATATATATATACATATAAAATTTATTTTTATCCATATATCTATATTATTATAAAAGCATGAATACAAAGTCGGTTTACAAAAATAACCTTATAATATTAAGCATAATAACTCATAATAAAAGGATATAACCGGAATTCTAGATATTAACATTATAATCCTATTAGTTTTAGGACATAATACTACACGTTAGAATCCTACACGATACCAAGACAACTTATAAAAGGAATTGTAGCAACTAAGCGGCAGAATCACTTATATGGACGTTCTACCTTTTGTTTAATCTCTATGCAAATNACAACGGCCAATTGGAAATCTTTCACATGGACTTAGGCCAATGTGCATAAACATAAATAAGATTCTACACAGATGATTTACCCATCACGGCGTCTCTTCTGCTTCTCCCCTCTTAGTACGTCGACCATCTATTTAAACATACAGAGACTAAATATTTTATTTTGATTGAATTAGGCTGATAAACCGCCCGATAAGAGCTAAACCGATACCAATCCTCCCGATATCTTATCGGGTGGCTAGCGGATTAATACATTTAAAAGCCGGTAACCGATAAGCCAAACCGTTAAGAGTAAATAACCGCTCAATTCGCCCGATAAGCAGCCCTAGGTTGAATGCTTGGCAAGGTAATATGCTTTCCTGTGGAGGTAGACAGGTTTTGATTAAATCTGTTATTCAATCTCTTCCTATTTATATTTTATCTGCCATCAATCCTCCCAAAGGAACATTGAGGCTCATTTAGAATCATATGTTAACTTCTTCTGGGGCACTTGTAATGGTAAAAAAAGTACCATTGGACTTCTTGGGGAAAGTTATGTTATCCAAAGAATGAAGCTGGAATAGGTATCCGGGGAATGAATGATATCTCTAATACAATACCATCAAAAGATGGTGGCATTTTAGAATTAGTAATTCTATGTGGGCTGACTTCCTCAAGGCAAAATACTGCCCTAGGGTACATCCTATTGGTAAGAAATGGTGCAGTGACAACTCTCAAGCGTAGAAACACCTTCTTTGGGCCAGAGACAAGTGTGAAAAATAGATTACTTGGAAGATTAATGGTGGTAACTGTAGCTTTTGGTGGACAACTGGACTGAATTGGGACCTTTGGCACACATTTGTTCAAGCTATCTAACACTAGCAACGCCAAAAAGAAGGTAAATGATTTCATGAGTACTAATAGGTGGGATGCACAGAAGCTATACAACACACTACCTAGCCAAATTGCGCTACATATTATGTCTATAGAGTTGGGCCAGGAAGACAAAAATGATTATGCTATATGAAATGCTACTGAGGATGGTCACTTTACAAATGGTTCTGCTTGGAATATGATCAGGTATCACAGAACAATCAATGTCACAGTCAACAAGATATGGAACAAATCAATTCCATTCAAACAATCTTTCATGTGTTGGAGAATCTTCTTTGGTAGAATCCCCATTAGAGAAAATATTACAAGGTTGGATTCCCAAGATACTGAAGTTTGTAGATGTTGTCCAACACCTGTTACGGAGACCTTGCAACATGTATTTGTGGAGGGTAAAGCAGCCGAGTATGTAAGGAAAGCTATGGGAAATCCATTGGGAATCATCTATCAACACTTACCGATCAGAGGTCTTCTTAATAGGTGGTGGAACATGAAAGAAAGAAACACAGTCCACAAACAGGTGTTGCAAGCTCTTCCTGCCATTATCTATTGGGAGATTTGGAAATCTTGGGTTGCATGTAAGTATGGGGACAACAATAACTTCTATTTGTATCGAATGGTTACTCAATGTGTTTGGAATATCAAAGCAGTTCTTCAGGATGCTTTTCCTAATCTCAACACTAATGGTACATGGGGTAATCTTTGCACATTAGTGGAGAAGCTCAAACCTGTTGTCATATGTACCCCTGTTTATTGGACCAAACCAGCACCTGGGTGGATCAAAATTAACACTGATGGTAGTTTTATCAAAGCAAGCAGGAAAGCTGTGATTGGGGGTATTATTAGAGATAGCAATAGAGATTTCATTTTCGCATTTTCTGTCCCGATCCAAGCCAATAGCAGCGGATTTGGGGTAGAATGGTGCACTTAACATGGCTACTCTAATCTTCATGTGGAGATTGATTCTCTGATTGTCACTAACGTCATCATCAAACAAAGCACCAACAACTTGAAGCTGCAACACATTATCAATGGCACTACTACTATGCTTGACAACACTATTTTTCGTATCTCTCATTGCCTTAGAGAAGCAAACCAAATTGCGGATCTGTTGGCAAAATTGGCTTCTACAAATGGAAACAGGACCTTATATCACTCTCCTTACAACCTTCCTAGAGAGACAAAGGGGCTGATTCAACTTGACAAATGGCAGATTCCTTCTTTTAGGAGGAGATATGAAAAATATAATTTTTTTGTTAGTTAAGTTAGATTTATGGATGGAAAGGCCTTTGTATAGGCTACGCCTTTCCTTGTTTGCTTGGCAAACCTTTTGTAGACTGGAGGCATGGTACCATGTCCCCATCTTGTCATTGTAAATTATTCAATATACATGGTAGGGGTCCAAGCCTAACCCCCACACCCTAGGCTCACAATCGAAGGTGCTGGTTTAAAAAAATGTTGATAAAATATTTAAAAACCTTAAATATATCTTAGAGGCTTCTGGGGAGGGTAATGTGTACACAGACCTTACCCTTACCTTGTGAAGGTAGAGAGACTGTTTCTGATAGACCCTCGGCTCAAGGAACAGTGAAAATATAGTAACAGATAATAACAACAACGCAACATTAGCAAATGGCACAACATGTAATAATAATAAAATTAAAAAAAGGCAGCCCGGTGTACTAAGTTCCCACTATGCGCAGGGTCCGTGGAAAGGCCAAACCACAATGGTCTATTATAATAATAAAGAACCATAAATAAGAGAATACAATAATAGTACTAGTACTACTGGTAAGACTAAGAGACACTAGCGACTACCTGTTACCCTTCCACTCTAATTCTCGATCTCCACCCTTTCCTATCGAGGGTCATGTCCTCGGTAAGCTGAAGCAATAACAAGTACTGCCTAATCACTTCACCCTGATACTTCTTAGGCCAACCCTACCCTTCCTAAAGCTCGCCATGGTCAACCTCTCACAGGTCAAACATAGCGCATAGACACCATGTATAGATGAAAAATTGCAAAAATTACAAGTTTATTACAACTATAAATGTGAGTTTCTTCTAAATATTTTATTTAACCAATTTTCATTAAAATTAAAGGAGTTTGTTAAATATTTTATGAAAACCAAAATGCTCACTTACAATAAATTTAAAGGATCAAAGTTGTTAAACGGTATATTTAAGGGACTATTATAAAAACCACTTAAAATTTGTTTAGTTATGAAAAAACCCAGAAAAATTAAGGTAGCGGTTGCCGAGGTTGTTTGAGCCATGAACCCAACATCCTCAGCTGCTCCTAAAGCTCTGTTAGAGCTAAAAGCAGCTTTATTTCATGGCTTTAAATCATTCAATCAGCTTAAACACATTCAGGCTCGCCTTATTCGTACAGGGTTTGAACAAAACAATTATCTCTTGAACTTACTATTAAAATACATTTTAAACAATTTCAACAACCCTAATTATGCTAAAATTGTTTTTAACCAAACTCAAGAACCCAATATTTTTTTGTACAACACTATGATTCGTGGGTTAGTTTCAAATGACTGTTTTTTTCAAGCTATTGAATTTTTTAAATTAATGAGAAAAGATGGGTTTTTGCCTAATAATTTTACTTTCCCATTTTTGTTAAAAGCTTGTGCTAGGTTAATGGATTTTGAACTAGGTGTTAAGGCTCATACACTTGTGGTGAAAGGAGGGTTTGATTGTGATGTGTTTGTGAAGACTGGTTTGGTTTGTTTTTACGCTCGGTGTGGGTTTCTTGAGGATGCACATAAGATGTTTGATGATATTCCTGAGAAGAATGTTGTTTCTTGGACCGCGATAATGACGGGGTACATTGATTTTGGGAAGCTTAAGGAAGCGATTGAGTTGTTTCAGAGGTCGTTGGAGATGGGTTTGAGTCCTGATAGTTTTGCGCTTGTTCGCGTGCTGTCGGCCTGTAGTCGTGTAGGGGATGTTAGTTCCGGTGAGTGGATACATAGGTATGCAGTGGAGATGGGTATGGGAAGGAATGTGTTTGTTAATACTTCTTTGGTTGACATGTACGCTAAATGTGGGAACATGGCGAAAGCTCGTGAGGTTTTTGATGAGATGGTAGAGAAGGATGTTGTTTCTTGGAGTGCTATGATTCAGGGTTATGCAGCGAATGGGCTTCCGAAAGAGGCTTTGGAGCTGTTTCACAAGATGCAGGGAGAGAACCTTAGCCCGGATTGTTATTCAATGGTTGGTGTACTTTCTGCATGTGCAAAGTTAGGAGCGTTAGAAGTTGGCGAATCTGCCACTAGGTTAATGGAGATGGATGAGTTTTTCTTGAATGCTGTTTTAGGTACAGCACTAATTGATATGTATGCTAAATGCGGGCGAATGTTATCAGCTTGGGAAATATTCAAGCAAGTGAAGGTGAAGGACAGAGTAATCTGGAACGCTGTTATATCGGGTCTCGCAATGCACGGGCACGTGAAATCTGCCTTTTGTTGTTTTGGTCAAGTAGAGAAACTTGGTATAAAACCTGATGGAAACACATTCATGGGTCTCCTTTGTGCTTGCACTCATGCTGGTCTTGTCGACGATGGTCGGAAATATTTTCGTAGCATGACTCACTTGTACTCTTTGGAGCCAACAGTTGAACATTATGGTTGCATGGTTGATCTTCTAGGCCGAGCCAGTTTGCTAGATGAAGCTCATTCGTTGATAGAAAGTATGCCAATGAAGGCCAATGCCATTATCTGGGGAGCGGTATTAAGTGGTTGCCGATTACATCGTGATACTAAGTTGGCTGAACATGTACTAAAGCAGTTGATTGAATTGGAACCATGGAACTCGGGAAACTATGTTCTTTTATCAAACATCTATGCATCTAACAACAAATGGGACGAATCGGAAAAAATCAGGTCTACTATGAACGAAAGAAGAATGCATAAGATTCCTGCGTATAGTTGGATAGTGATTGATGGAATTGTTCATGAATTTCTTGTTGGAGATACATATCATCCAATATCAGATAAGATATACGATAAACTCAGTGAACTAAGCAAGGAGTTAAGAGAGGCGGGTTATGTTCCAAAAACGGAATATGTTCTATTTGACATTGAAGAGGAGGAGAAGGAGCACTTTGTTGGCTGTCACAGTGAGAAGCTTGCGCTTGCATTTGGCTTACTAAGTACTAAAACTAGTGATGTTATCCGAATAATTAAAAACCTTCGTATCTGTGGTGATTGTCATACATTCTTCAAGCTTGTCTCAAAGATAACAGAGAGAGAAATTATCTTGCGAGATAATAATCGTTTCCATTGTTTTACTAAAGGATCATGCACGTGTGGAGATTACTGGTAAGAGTTCAGTTGGTAACATGATGTTGCGAGCTTTTTATCGAGCAAGTAATCAAGAAGAGAAAAGATATTGAAGAGGGAAGGAAAATAGAGGCCAAATGTTGCTAACTTGTTCCCGATAAATGAGGTCCACAATTTGCAGCTCCTCGCGGAGATATTGGGGTGTCTCATTGGAAGCCTTTGTACAAATGCCTGGGCTTGTTTCAAGCTTTAAATCAGTAGCTATATGGGATGGTGTCCTAGAAAAGATGGAGAGCTGGCCAGCTGGAAAAGACAATACTTATATCAGTTGGAGAGAGAAACAAATCAATTTTTTTAGAGCAAAAGGCAGAACTGGTAAAGTTGTTGCCATGTGACCAAGAGGTTACGGGTTCGAGCCGTGGAAACAGTCTCTTACAGAAATGCAGGGTAAGGTTGCGTATAATAGATCCTTGTGGTCCCGCCCTTCTCCGGACCTAGCTTAGTGCGCCGGGCTGCCCTAAAGGCAGAATGTAGTAACCTTGAAACACAGTTGTATTGTTTTGCTAACCTTTTGGCGCAACAGGGCTGATGTTAATGATACAGAAGCCATACTTGACTTTCTTAAACTCATTACATAGCTATCCCTAGCACTTCTCTATGCTGGGTGTTCATATCAATAAAATTACCCTTATCCAAAGGAAAAAAAACCTATTGTATGTGTAATAGAAATAAAGATTTGCTTTATGAGGAATTTCTGAATTATGATCTAGATTATGGGTTATTTTTGCTTTGCAAATCATTAGTTGATCATTACTGAATTGTGATCTAGCTATTTCTTTTGGTTGTCTAACCTTTCTATCTGCGGCCGCGGATTTTACCGTTACAGTATTTCATGTTGAAACCTTGTTCAGAACCAACAAGACAGTGAATTTAATGGATAAGTTTGCCAAGGAACCACTTTGAATGCATGGAGCTTCTTTGTTCTTTCAATATATAAAAAGTAACAGTAGATGATAACTACAGAATGGCTTGTGGAAGCAAGGATGGGAATGTTCATGCACTATGGTCTATGGTATCCTGAGCATTTGGCAGATCTTCATCTAAGCATCACAATTTTGAAAAAAGAAAAAGAAAAATATTGGTCTATATATATAACCATCATGATCTCATTATCTGTGAATGTTACTTCAAAAGATATTGGTCTATGTAGGATCCTCATGTTTGGTCTCTATGGTATCAGTAAAAATGGCAAAACACTTCTCATGCCAATTAACCCCATTTTGCCAATGATAACACATGCTGATTCTTCATCCATTTTGTTTCCTACACGTATACTATGCCATAACTAACAACCAGCTCCTGCAAATGAATTGAAATCATTGATAAATGCCTGCAGCAGAAAAAGTCATCTAAGTCACTAATGTGCCTAAAAGAAATGTTTTGTTATAACCGAGAAATCCAAGAGGACCAGTGGCACAAGGTTGGATAACGGGCCCGCCCTTCTATCCTTCTCCTCGTAAATATCAGGCTTTTATCTATGTTAGGGTTCAAACACGTGATGTGCGCCTAATATACACATCACAAAACGAGGAACAACCTCCAACTTGTCAGCTGACTTATGTATCTCACTTCCAAGTTCCTACCATGGCGAACTTGTCAAACCAATTATCTTTGTGATAAACTCATTACAAGAAACCAGGAATAACAAAATTCTAGCAGAGACGAAAAACCACTAGGTGATATCATCTCATCTACTACGCTTGGTAGTGGTGAGAGGTAACGACTCCACTAGGTGATATCATCTCATCTACTACGCTTGGTAGTGGTGAGAGGTAACGACTACTCGATGGAACAATCTGAGGTGTGCAAAATCTGACCTGGACACATTGTTATCCCAAAAGGAAAAAAATATGAAACAAGGAACAAAAATCTAAAAGATTAATAGCAAAAAACTCAATAAAGCAACTAACACAAATATTCATCAAACAAAATACTTAAGCATGTGAAACTTTTTTCAATAAACTCGTTACAAGAAACAAAACGAGGAACAACATATCTTCCAAGATTACAAGTCTAGCTACAGGCTCGATAGAACCCAGTAACTTCAGCACAGACTTTGTATTACATATCCTATCCTGGATTCCAGAACTCATATACTCAGAATCCTGACTCCGCAACTAACACAAATATTCATCAAACAAAATACTTAACCATGTGAATCTCTTTTCAATAAATTCATTACAAGAAATAAGACGAGAAACAACAATCTTCCAATATTAATGCCAAAAAAGCTCAATAAACCAACTAACATTAGTGCCGGAGCTACAAGTCTAGCTACGGGTCGGGTTCGACAGAACCCAGTAACTTGCTCGAATTTTGTATTACTTATTCTGTCCTAGATTCCAGAACCCATATACTCAAAATAACTTGCTCGAACTCTGTGTTACTTATTCTGTCCTAGATTCAAGAACTCATATACTCAAAATCCCGACTCTTGCGACCAACACAAATATTCATCAAACAAAATACTTAACCATTTGAATCTCTTTTTTCTTGAAACCACATTTCTCATAAAAAGGCCTATTCTCTTCAGTACAATCAAGAATTACCTTATAACACCCCATAGAATAAGCATGATTAGCAAGATACTCAACAATTCTTTTACCTAATTGCATGCCACGTGTACTCGAATCAACAACAACATCCTCAATATGTCCAGCTTTTCCACAATTTCTTACGAATTTCTTTTCAATAAATACACTTCCTGTTGCAACAATTTTTCCTGATTTAACATCTTCAATTACACAAATAATATGTTCATCTCCATATTTTGAAATCTCTTCGAATCTTTCCTTGAATTTTTCGTCTGTTACAGAATCACAAACAGTTAATTGTTTTAACAATTCAATAAAACCTTTTTCTTTGTCTGAAATCTCCAGTTTGCGGATATGGAATGTGTCTCCTTCAGTAGAATTATTGCTCTGCATTTTTGCCTTCAAAAAGTAACTAATTAAGAAAATTGTAAATGAAAATTTGTAAATCCAGATCTATTATTAATTCAGACTGTATATTAAAAGAAATTAAGAAAATAATAAAAACCGTAGGGAGAAGGAATTGGTCTTACTTGAGAGAGAGTTGGTGAGAGAAGGGGGAAAGAGATCGATTGGAGCAAATTTACCAACTGCTATTTGTGTACAATTTCAGATTTATCGTTACAAAGTGGGATTGTGATCCGAAACGCTAAGGCCCAACCCTTCTGCCCAAATGACCCTGTATAGCCGCTCTCAAAATAATTGGAGAAATTCAAAAATAGCCAGATTTACAAGTGGCTATTCAAAATAGTCACAGTTTCAAACGTAATCGAAATTTAGCCACTTTTCATATAAAGATAAAACTGAACGAAAACACTGTTCAAAATCCGGAAAAATACTCCAGTATAATATACTGGCATTTTCCGCGTGTTGGAGTTCCAGCATAATATGCTGGACGTTCATACACAGGTGCACCGATCTCCAGTATATTATGCTGGAACTTTCCGTGTAGCAGCAAAATAGTGGCTATTTTTACCAAAATAATAGCCAAAAAATATATATTTTTTGTATGTTATATATAAAAATTATACAAATTATACACTTTTTCGGCTATCGAATGTAAATAGTTTCTGGTGTGGGTTAAAAATGAAGAAGTCCTTACTTTTTTTCAATTTTTTTAAATAACATCTGGGAAGGAGAGGGGTGAGGAGGGGAGAGAAGGGGATGCTACTAGGGGTGTACAAAACCGAACCGAAACCGAAACCGAAGCTTAATGGCTTATTGGTATCGGATTAACGGTTTAATGGACGGGGAACGGATTGAAATTTTTTCATTAACGGCTTATCGGTTTGGGGGCGGGTTATTCAATTTTCTTAACGGATAATCCGTTAACCCGTTAAGAATATATATATATATATATATATATATATATATATATATATATATATATATATAGGCGGATTTAGGGGGGCGCAAGGGTGTTCACCCAAACTACTGTTTTATTTTAGTACCTTCTGCTTCTCCAGTAGTGCAAATTTGTCCTTCCTCCTTCGATGATCATCATTCTCTCTCTCTTCTGTTTCTCCACCCGGGGCTTTTCGTTCCCTCAGTAACTAAGTTGTCTTTCGTAAAAAAATCTGATAAAGTTTTTTGGACTGGTAAGCCTTCCTTGACATTTCTGCTCCAGCAGTTTCAACATTTTTGTTCACTCTGAGCATATGAATGTGTCAAGCTTCAATTAGTTGAGCACTCTATTTTCACCTCTTGAACACTATCTGTTTTCTAAAATCTTTACAAGAAACTTGTGCTGCATGCAAGCTTTTAGCTGAATAGATTAATTTCTAATGTTGAAAACTCTCACTATTGTCTTTAGCATAAGTTACTCTAATATTAAGATGTCTATTAGCTTAATTATTCTAGGCCGATTCTTCTTCCTTCTGTAATCGTAAAATCAACAGTGTAAGAAGAATTTCTAGGTCTTATCATAATTTTCCTACTAATCTGTCCAAACCTCGAAAGGCTCATGTACGAGAAAAAATTTCTTACTCGTCCGAGATTTTGACAGGAAACATGAATGTTAAGAACTGCTGAGTACCATTAGCATTCTTTTTTCTGTGATGAAATGTTAATTGCAAGAAGCATGAAATGTACTGCGTAAGCACGAGGCAAAATCTCATATGACTAAGAAATTAGGCCGATAAACCGCCCGATAAGAGCTAAACCGATACCAATCCGCCCGATATCTTATCGGATGGCTAGCGGATTATTACATTTAAAAGCCGATAACCGATAAGCCAAACTGTTAAGAGTAAATAACCATCCAATCCGCCCGATAAGCAGCCCTAGATGCTACGCTACTGATTTGGGGGGTGGGTGGGGGGAGGGAGTTTCTAAACCCTCTACCTCAATTGTGGAAGGTTCCACAGGAAACTCACCAAGGGATGCAAACAAGGGGGCGAAGCTATATTATACGAAGGATGGTCTATTTGATGGATTAATATATGCAGCGGAAGCAATCCCAGTATCAAAATCACATGTAATCTAGACAACTAGCATAAACGGGATTTCACGGGTTACCTCTTGAAGCGTGAGCAAACTCCTTTATCACGTGAGCCTCCAATTCTACAGCAACTCAATGAATTCTCCACACCCCGCACGATCACGATCTCCGAACGTTCCACGGTCTTCTACTGTGTTACCCAAATAATACCCGATAATAGTAATTTCGTGTGGGCGAAATTTCTAAGGAAAAGGGGATGAAATTCGGCCACCATGTGCTCTTCTTTCTAGGTGGAAAACCTTATGTATTTATAGCACAAGTTTTAAGGGTTAAAACCCTTTTCCAAAACCTGTTGGGTTTTCTTTTCCACCAGAAAAAGGATTCCTTTATTTTCTATTATTTAGGCACAGCAGGGACCACAAAATTTAATTAACAAGGCTTCCAATTATGGAATTAATTTATAATTTTTGAAATTAATATCCACCATAATTAATTACGATTTATTCCTCTAAAAATTCGTAATTGCACTCCTTATTCAATTTCGAAATTCATCCATTAAATCTTATTTAACTCCCCATGTTAAGATTCACATACTAATCAATTAAATTAAATTACTGACGATTTAATTTATTGATTATTTCCTTTAGACTTTCGCTTAACTTATTTCATGTGTCGGATACAAAATCCACCGGCCGGGTTTACACATGAAAACTTATAAGCTTTCATAAAGGTGTATCATCAATCTCTAAACCGAGACTTGGATTCCATCAACTAACTATTAGTTCGCCAATGTACATTATTATTATCTAATTTACCAGGCATATTGACCCACGAAAGAATCTCGCCTTTTAATAAATCAAAACAATAATAATATACACAGCTTATAATAATTATATCAAGATTAAGAGTATAAGTACATTTAATGGCTAGAGAGTTTATTTTATTAAGTCAGTATAAAATACTTATCTCTACCTGATCCGTTCAATACATACAAAATGTACTAGCGCAAGAAGTTGGAATTAAACCATTCCCATAATCAAGATAAATTATATTTAATCTTGTGCTACAATCATTCCTGATGGTTTGTCCAATTCCATCATTAGATTGTGAACTCCAACTTTATACTTATAAGAATCGATGATTTAATCTTCCGTGTATAAGCTAAACTCTGTACACTAAATCATCTACTATATAAGCAAAGGACACATACTAATATATGATCTATTTAAAACTTTATTAAAATTGAATGAACAATTATATCATAATAAATACTATATCTAAACCGAACTCATGGTTAATAGTATATATCCCAACAATCTCCCACTTAGACTTTTGACCATGACAATTATTAGAATATACTATATCCAAATGCATGGTTAATAGTATATGCTCCAACAGTCTCCCACTTAGACTCATAACCATGCATCTACAACTTTCTCACGCATTCTTTTACATGACTATTAAACATCTCCAGTAGTGCTTTGTCGTAACCATCTAGTTTGGTATTGAACTCTTCAGGGATCCTGTTACTGAAACTATCCCAAGAGTGTACACCGAACTATGATTTTCTTTAGCATTCTCCCACTACGACGAAGTACTACTAATATTACCTTCATTACCTTACGGCATTGAAATATTAGTGACTTCTTACTATAATGTTCACTGTTCAAACATCACTCCCACTCGATAAAGGCATATTATGTCTATTAACGTTCTCCAACTACTCAAATGCAATGGAACGTCAATTCCGACTTGTGGGTTTTGATGTTCTTGAATGTCAATTTGCCTTATTTTCTTTAGGACAATGAAATAAAACTCCATTCATTTTCTTGGATATTCAAAAAACATGCACCTATCCATTCTTAGTTCCAACTTACATATTCGCTTTCCCTTTCAGCACATATGCAGGACACTCCTATATCTGAACATGCCACGGACTGAGCTTACATTCAGTCCACTGTTCTATAGATGTCCCAGGTACTAACTTAGAAGGAACTAAATTCAGAATGTAATTTGCAGTTTCTAGAAAATATTCCAAAACAAATAAGGCAATCTGAATAACACGTCATTAATCTATCCATGTCCAAAAGAGACTTATTTCTTCTTTCTACCACACCACTCTATTATGGAGTTTACGGTGTAGTCAATTGAGATGTAATTCCTTATTCTGATAAGTAACAAAAGAACTCTTTAGAGAGGTGCTCGCCACTACAATCAAATTGCAGTAAATTAATATATTTCCTTGGTGCTTCTCCGTTTCAAGTCTTAAAATCTTGATTTACTTAATTCATTAAGACTTACGGTGCATCAAATAAATATATTAATATTTTGAGTAATCATTTATGAACGTCACAAAAATACTCAAAACTATCTCTCACCAGTATGCTCATTTAACCATACAAATCAGAAGGAATTCATTCTAGCTTATCACTAGCTTTATTTTCTTTTGAAGGGAAATAACCTTTAGTCAAATTTCCTTCCAAACAGGATCTACAAGTTGGTAGTGCCTCTACTTTCAATGAACCTTAAGGTCCATCCTTGACCAACTTGAAATCCTATCTAGATTAATATGACTTAGACAAAAGTGCACAGATAAGTTTTACTCAATTTTGAAGAACATATTCTCTTATGAGGTAGACTATTATTGTTCTATTCAGGAGAGACATTAATATACAATAACAAGGTCATGCATTCATGCACCACAAGAGATAAAATGTTTATCAAGCTCAATAACTCAAGAGTTATTTGAAAAATAAAACAAATATCCATCTCTTATTTTGCCCAGAAACCGGAATTAAATTCCTTCTAACAAAAAGCACATATATTGCATCCTTTAAATTAATTGTAATATTTCGGGATTTCTTACTTTCAGCCATTATATATGTTTATTACTCACTGAGTTGGAAGTACTCACTTTACTCCCTGCACCATGTGTGCAGATTCAGGTGCTCCGGAGACTTAGTGGAGCTGTTTACTGTCTTCTTGGATTTCGGTTTAGGAGTTGTTGAGGTAGCTGCCTGACGTCCGCAGGACCCGACTTCTCCCCTTTATTGCATTTGTCTTTTCCTATCCTAGACTTTCTTTATTACTATGAATATAATACTCTGTTACATTTAGAGGCTCTAGACTCGTGACTCCAGATCTATTGGGGTATGTTGGGATATTCGTTATTATTTTTCCATACTATTTTATTAGTTT